AGTTTGGGCAAGGACACAGGGGCCCCATGATCCCCTATTGCCCGGGGGCCCCTTGAAACACTGTCATGCTGAAAACAATAAATACTACACAAACTTTGATGTTGGGCCCCATGAGTTGTCAGTCCGCCCCTGTTCCAAATATATTGCCATATATTTGAAATGCTACAATTTTGGCCATATTTTTAAAAATACATTTTCAAATATACTGTATGTCTTTAAACATACAAATCTACATTTTTGGAATGCATTTACAAATATATGCAAAAATATATGTTAAAATAAATTTTTTATATGTTAAATAAAAATCTGAAGAATATATTAAAAAAATAATATTTTTAAAAATATATTTTTTTAAGTATATTCTTCACATTTTTTTAACATCTAAAAAAGTCATTTTGACATATATTTTTATATATATTTATAAATACATTCCAAAAAAATAGATTTGTATTTTTATAGACTTACAGTATATTTGAAATGCATTCTTAAAATATTTAAAATATATTTTCATATATTTTGTAATAAAAACGCATTTTAACATGCAGTATATATATATATATATATATATATATATATATTTACATATATATTTACATATATATTTATTAAAATATATTTTGAAATACATTGAATATGGCCAAAACTGTAGCATTTCAAATATATAGCAATATATTTGGGAAGAATATTTTTAAAATATATTTTAAATATATTTTTCTTCCATGTGGGTTTTTTTCCACCTCTAGCTCTGTAAGCCACTTAGGCAGCTGAGAACAGATGCTATGTGATCAATTTAAAAAAAAAAAAGAACGTATATATATATATTTTTTTCAAATACACAAACAAATGTTTTCCATTCATTTCTATTTTATACTGAATGGTTGTTTTACATAGGTGGGTTTGCATATACTTCAAGCAAGACCATGACCCCTGCCCAAGGAGGGCTGCAGAGAACAGTAACATGACATCTAGCCTTTCAACAGCACAAACATACAAAAATATAAAGCAGAAAATACAGCAGCGGGGCTCCTTTAGGGCGTGGGGGGAGCAGTGGATAGCTGGAGTAGTGTGAGTTGAAAGCAGGACAAAAATAGAGAAAAATAGCTAAACTTTTTTGACATTGTGCAATAACATATTTTGATGAACCATTTCAGTACTGGTCACTTTCACCCCCTTCCTGCCCAGGTGAATTTTCAGCTTTCGGTGCTGTCGCACTTTAAGTGACAATTGTGCGGCCATCCAACACTGTACTCATATGAAATAATTTTTTGAGACAGATATAGCTTTGTTTTGGTGGTATTAAATCACCACCTCAGGGTTCCTGTTTCAGAGTGGCTACTTTCTCTTTCAGCGTCCTATTGAGTCACCCTTGCATGCAGGGACTAGAATTCTGTCTTCCTACACTGTGTGCATCAATAGAAACACACAGTGTTTGGGGGTGAGGAGGGGCTGATCTGCATTTTGAGGGATCTTGGCCAATCCCCAAGCAGAAGGCTTGGCATGGGGCCAGGAGACCCCTTAAATATGATTGAGCCTGGTCAGCAGGAGGAGTAGTGTCGAGTGGAATATGGAGTGAAGGCTGGAGTGTGGAGCCTGGGAGGGGGCCCAGGAGAGAGGAGCCTACCTGCAGGCAGTAGCTGGAAAGGAGGATCTCTCTGCCTCATCATCCCCTGAGAGAGGAGAGTCTGTGGAGCAGGGAAGGAGCCAGCCAGGGATAAGGCCTGAAGGCAGCCACCAACCCACCAAACTCACAGGAGAGGAATGAAATCCTACACACCCCCGGGCCAGATAAGGGGAGAGGGTATTCAGGTGGCAAACCCAACTAGCTCCTTGTCTGGGGCTGCTTTACTACAGTGGTTCGTCTTGCTCAGGGATTCCCTCAGGCAGCTGGGTGAAGAGGAGGATTCATCTGGGGTCAGAGAAGGTACACCAGAAGGGCTAGAGAGACTGTCTACAGACTTGTACACAGTTGCTAAGGAGTTTGTCTTCATGTTTCTACAGTTCCTTTGGTATTCCATTAAGGTTGCCACCTCATTCCTTTAAAACCAAAGACATATTAATTACACAGGTCCTGTGGCTGATAAGGTGGTAATTAAACCCACTTAGTGCCTAATCTGCATTAAATTAGCCTCAGAGCCTCATATAGTGATCTTGGTGTAGCGCTATTCACCCTGAGGTCATCACAGAGGACAAGGGGGCACTCTTCACGTCTGGAGGAAAGAAATTTAATCTTCAAACACAGAAAATGTGGAATAGACTCCCTCAAGAGTTGGTTCTGGCCAGCTCAGTGGATTGCTTCAAAAAAGTCCTGGATTCTTTCTTTGATACACAAAATATAACCGGATACTAACATTTATAGGTAAAGTTGATCCAGGGAATATCCAATTGCCTCTTGGGGGATCAGGAAGGAATTTTTTTCCCAGCAGGAGCAAATTGGATCATGCTTTGCTGGGTTTTTTTTTGCCTTCCTCTGGATCAACTGTGGGTATAGGATTATAACTTTTTTTTCTATGGTTGAACTGGATGGACTTTTGTCTTATTTTCAGCCAGACTAACTATGTAACTATGTAACCTGTGTAATTAATATGTGTTCGGTTTTAAAGGGATGAGGTGGCAACTCTACATCCCATACACCCCTCAACCCCATCCAAGTTCAATACCCCTTAATAAAACATAAAACCAAGCTCATGGACCAGGGGTGGACTGAAAACTCATGGGGCCCCCGGGCAATAGGGGATCATGGGGCCCCTGTGTCCTTGCCCAAACTCAAAAAAGCCTATGAAAAAGGTACCAGGGGCATCTCATGAGGCCCCCTACTGACCCCAGGCCCTCAGGCAGTGCCCGAGTTTCCAAATGGTCAGTCCGCCCCTGTCATGGACTGTTTACTGATTCTCAGTGCAAGTGTGGAAGAGAAATACATGTTGCCTAGCTGTTCAGAACTATAGGGGGATCCAAAAACTCAGCGGCTGCTAAGGGGGCAGTGCTACATGAGGGTTAACTTTGAAGTGTATGGCCCTAGTGCATCAACTACTTTGGAGTCGCTAAAACTTTAAGTAGCACATATATAAATAGTTATCATTGGAAAACATGGGGTATGGCTTGTCCAATTTTGCACGACAAGTCGCGCAAGTGTGAATGGGATCTAAACTGGAGCCTCAAGCCTTGGACCCAAATATCCTACCCAGAGATCTATATGTCCCAGTGTAGAGTAGACAACGATGATATTCTCCAACAGCATCCGCCCCTAACTGAAATGACACTGTATGGACTGTATAGTTTTACTTTGGAATGCTCTTCAAATCATCCCCGTATCCTTCGACTTTCACGGTTCAACGGAAATGCCAATGATATGAGGAAAAGGTTAAGTTGAAGAAATAGTCTACTCAGTCACCAGTAATTAATCTCGTTGCTCTTTAAAGCAATTTAATATGCTAAGATATGCAAAGAGATGAAACATTCACTGCCAATTATTCTTTTGCGATAATGCCATAATCCTTTTACAAGCACTTTCCTCAGATGTTTAATCTCTCTAATAAGGTACTGAAGAACAAATAGTAACTTGGCTGGAAAAGGTTTGTTCTTCCCTTTGGGGGGACAGAGAAAAATCAAAAAGATATTGCAGTATTCTCTGAAATATTCGCAGGAGGCGTCCCACTTGTGTGCGAGACAATGTCATGTTAGCTGTCCACCAGCAGATGGTGGTACAGAATGAGCATTCACGGCAAGCTAAGGCAAAGTTCTGCTCTCAGGGTATAGCAATGACCTTTACACTTAGCAAGCTTTCAGGCATTGATCGCTGTATTGTATAACGCACTGTTTAAATGTAAGAACACATTTTGTTGCAGATATGGTGGAATATAACACATAATGCACTAAAAAAAAAAAAAAAAAAAAACTGTAGCATAAAAATTGCTGAGAATCACATTTAACAAAAGTCTAAATAGAAAATGTCTTTATTTATTTCAGGTAGTTATGTAGCACCATCAATGTTACACAGCGCTTTACATACATATTGTACATTCACATCAGTCCCTAACCCTCAAGGGGTGTACAATCTAAGGTCCCTAACTCACATTCATACATATACACATACTAGGGCCAATTTAGACAGCCACCTACCAGCATGTCTTTGGCATGTGGGAGGAAACTGGAGTACCTGGAGGAAACCCACACAGTCACAGGGAAAACGTGCAAACTCCAGGCAGGTGGTACTGTTTTTGGGATTTGAACCAATGACCCTAGTACTGCCAGGTAGGAGTGCTAGCTGTTTAGCCACTGTGCTGCCCATGATCTGTTTATACAATAGTGCAGTACAGTACATAGACAAAAAAGGAGCTTAGTGCTCTCTTCCATCAGATATGAGTTAATAAACAGAAAAGTGTTAAAGTGTTCAAATAAATGTCCACATTAGTCCATTCAAATAAATGTCCACACATTCAAATAAATGTCCACATTACTCCATTCAAATAAATGTCCACATTAGTTCATTCAAATAAATGTCCACATTAGTCCATTCAAATAAATGTCCACATTAGTTCATTCAAATAAATGTCCACATTAGTCCATTCAAATAAATGTCCACATTAGTCCATTCAAATAAATGTCCACATTAGTCCATTCAAATAAATGTCCACATTAGTTCATTCAAATAAATGTCCACATTAGTCCATTCAAATAAATGTCCACATTAGTCCATTCAAATAAATGTCCACATTAGTCCATTCAAATAAATGTCCACATTAGTCCAAAGTCCGTGAAAATAAGTGAATGTCCATCAAAGTGAAGAAAAAAAAAATCTCTTCCAACAAGAATGAAGATACAGTAACACTCCAATGTGCTTCTGGTAACGACAGGTGAGTGTAAACCCTTACCGAAGCAGTTGGGCCTTCAACTTAATGAAAAGCCAAAGACTCTTCTAGGGTTCGATCCCACAGCATAGCAGCATTCAAATCCTCTGGCTCATCAAAAACACACTCCATTCTCCACCAAATCTGGCATGTGGGAGGAAACCTCTCAAGCGATACACACCAAACTGAGCATGTGCAGAGTGTCTCCACACCATACATCTTATCAGGAGATAAGAAGGGGATACTGGAAGAAGGAGAGGATCAGAGAAGTCAGGATCAAACAGTTTTTTTACACAATGCAGAAGATTAACCCGTAGGTACTACAATGAGAATAACGAGCATGCTTTACTGCATATACAGACTGATTTTACTGTTGTGGGTTTAGTAACAATTTAATTACCATAATTCATTCACATAAATCATATCAAGTACTTTATTCCTGCAGCGCTGTTGTGTAGTCACATGATCTTTCCCTGTTCTTTGGCATCGGCAGGGTAAGATATTTGGAGGGGCTTCTGAATGCACTTGCTCCTTTCTCCACACGCGGAACCAGGCCTCACTTGTCACAACCCTGGCAAACAGATGACACCAGAAGTCTGAAGATATGCAGCCGTGCTCTTGTGCGAGCATGGCGTAAAACTAAGTCCCTGAAAGACTTTACCCTCTAAAAATCCACCTTTCTCAAATACAACTCCAGCCTCCACGCTGCTAAGCAAACCTACTATAAAGTCTCATCAAAACCCTCTCATCCAATCTTCGTCAACTCTTCTCTAACATTAATTCCTTACTCCCACCCCCCACTATCTCCAGTCACCAACTTACTTACTGCACAGGAGATTGCCAGTCATTTCAAGAACAAGACTGACACAATTCACGATGAGATCTCCAGAGTCAAGTTTCCTCCTCCAACCAACATACCAGGCCCAACACCACGCTCAACATTCTCCTCCTTCGACCCTGTTACCAACGAGGAAGTTACCGAACTCCTTTCCAAGGCTCACTTCACCACCTGTCCCCTGGATCCTGTCCCCTCACACTTATTGCAGCCTCCCTCCTGCTCTATCCTAAACTCTCTAACCCACATCTTCAACATCTCATTTCCATGAGCACCTTTCCCTCCCCTCTCAAACATGTACTGGTTACCCCCATACTTAAAAAACCCTTGCTGTACCCCACCTGTTTCAATAATTTAAGACCCATCTCCCTGCTCCCGTTTGCCTCCAAGCTCCTCGAGCGCCTTGTTCACAAACGTATGAACTGCTACCTCACTGACAACCTTGATCTTGATCCCCTACAGCTGGTTTCCACCCACAACATTCCACTAAAACTGCCCTACTAAAACTCACTAATGACCTACTAACTGCTAAAACCAATGGCCATTACTCCATACTCATACTCCTTGACCTTTCCTCTGCCTTTGACACAGTCGACCACCCGATCCTCCTCAGTAAACTCAACTCAATTGGTCTCTGTGACTCTGCTCTCTTCTAGTTCTCCTCTTACCTTTCAGCATTACATACTACTTCTCCTCCTCTGCTCCTCTCCCTCTTTCTGTTGGGGTACCCCAAGGCTCTGTCCTTGGGCCCCTCCTTTTCTTTCTCTACACCTCCTCCCTGGGCCAATTGATAACCTCCCATGGCTTCCAATACCACCTCTATGCTGATGACATCCAGATCTATCACTCCAATCCCCAGCTCACCCCCTCAATCTCCTCACAAATCACAAATCTACTAAGCGACATATCAGCATGGATGTCACATCACTACCTTAAACTCAATCTTTTCAAAACCAAGCTTGTAATATTTCCTCCCCCCCCCGATCCCCCACTCATGACTTTACCATTAAGATCAACAGCACAACCATTGGTCCTTCCCCTCATGCCAGGGTGCTAGGTGAAATCCTAGACTCTGACCGCTCCTTTGGGCCCCACATCCAATCACTGGCTAAATCCTGCCACCTCAACCTCTGGAACATTTCCAAAATCTGCCCTTTCTGACCAATGACACCACAAAACAATTTATTCATGCCTTGATTTTATCCCACCTTGATTACTGCAACTCCCTCCTCACTGGTCTACCATTACACAGGTTATCCCCCCTTCAGTCTATTATGAATGCTGCTGCTAGACCCATCCATCTTACCAACCGATCAGCTGCTGCTGCCCCTCTGCCAATCCCTTCATTGGCTTCCACTAACCCAACGTATAAAATTCAAAATACTAACCACAGCATACAAAGCCATCCACAACACTGCCCCTAACTACATCACCAACTTCATCCGCAGATATCATCCAAATCACCCGCTCCGCTCCTCCCAAGACATCTTGCTCTCTAGCTCCCTCATCACCTCCTCTCATGCTCACCTCCAGGACTTCTCCAGAGCCTCTCCCATCCTCTGGAACTCCCTACCGCAGTATGTCTGGTCAGCCCACCTTGTTGGAATTTAGGCGATCTTTGAAGACTCACTTATTCAGGGAAGCCTACCCCGCCTCCACCTAAGAACTGTACTTGAGCCACCTCCATCAGAACATCGCCTACAGCTATCACCTTTTGTACCACCTTCCCCTTCCTTTAGATTGTAAGCTCCACAAGCAGGGCCCTTGTATTCCTTCTGTACTGAAATGTATAGTAATTGTACTGTCTCCCTTATATTGTAAAGCAATGTGCAAACTGTTATATATAACTGGCAAACTGGCGCTATATAAATTCTGTATTATAATAATAATAACTACAGTATGGTTGGTGCTGTGCCAGTCACATGACTTTAAAAACTGTTTCAGAAGAGCAATTCAGATTCATAATTGTTATTATTATTATTATACAGCAGTGTTTTTCAACCTTTTTTGTGCAAAGGCACACTTTTTTCATGAAAAAAATCACGAGGCACACCACCATTAGAAAATGTTAAAAAAATTTACCTCTGTGCCTATATTGACCATATAGTAATTCATCCCCCATAGTAATTCATCCCCCATAGTAATTAATCCCCCATATAGTAATTCATCCCCCATATAGTAATTCATCCCCCATAGTAATTAATCCCCCATATAGTAATTCATCCCCCATAGTAATTCATCCCCCATAGTAATTCATCCCCCATATAGTAATTAATCCCCCATAGTAATTCATCCCCCATATAGTAATTCATCCCCCATAGTAATTCACCCCCCATATAGTAATTCATCCCCCCTATAGTAATTCATCCCCCATATAGTAATTCATCCCCCCATATAGTAATTCATCCCCCATAGTAATTCATCCCCCCTATAGTAATTAATCCCCCTATAGTAATTCATCCCCCCATAGTAATTCATCCCCCATATAGTAATTCATCCCCCATATAGTAATTCATTCCCCATAGTAATTCATCCCCCCTATAGTAATTCATCCCCCATAGTAATTCATCCCCATAGTAATTCATCCCCCATATAGTAATTCATCCCCCATAGTAATTCATCCCCCATAGTAATTCATCCCCCATATTAATTCATCCCCCATATTAAGTCCCCAAGCCCCCCCTGTGTCAATTCACTTACCTTTGCTCCGCGCGTTCCTCTCGCCATTCCGGTGTAGCATGAAAATCTGTCTCCTATGAGGATCTCTCCCCCTCGACGTATCTGTGCATGTGCCAATTTCAGCATTAGCAGCCGATCGGCGATCTCCGGCACATGCGCAGATATGTCGAGGGGGACAGATCATCCTGACAGTATCACGCTCCGCGGGCCGGATTAAAAGGTCCGCCGGGCCGTATACGGCCGCGGGCCGTAATTTGCCCATTGCTGTTCTAATGATTGGTCTATTTGTGAGCCGAGGCCACATGTTACAGATGAAATTGCAATTTTTCCCACGGCACACCAGACAATATCTCACGGCACACTAGTGTGCCGCGGCACAGTGGTTGAAAAACGCTGTTATACAGGATTTATATAGCCCCAACAGTTTGCACAGTGCAGACAGTACAGCTACAATACAATTTGGTACAAGAGGAAACAGAGGGCCCTGCTTGTTAGAACTTACAATTTAAGAAGGAGGGTCGAGTGACACAAAAGGTAATAGCTGTGGGGGATGATTTGACGGAGAAAGTAAAAAACAAAGTTTACAGTATTAGTTAGAAGCAGGATAGACTTTAAAAAAAAAAGGTTTTCAGGGATCATCTAAAGGTAGATAGATTAAGAGATAGTTGGACAGATTGGGGTGGGAGTTCCATAGGTGGGAGAAGGTCGGGACAAGTCCTGGAGGTGAGCATGGGAGGAGGTGACAAGGAAGCTAGAGAGCAAGAGGTCTTAGGAGGACCGAAGAAAGCAGTTTGGTTGATATTTCGAGACCAGGTTGGTGATGTAGCTGGGGGCTGAGTTGTGGATGGCTTTGTACGTTGTTGTTGGTATTTTTAATTTTATTCGTTGGGAGAATGGAAGCCAGTGGAGGGATTGACACAGAGGGGTAGTGGACACTGAACAGTTGGTAAGGTGGATGAGCCTGGCAGCAGTATTCATGGTGAGGGAGGAGGAGGGATAGCCTATGCAAAGGTAAGCCAATGAGAAGGGAGTTGCAGTAGTTGAGGCGAGAGATAACCAGGGAGTGAATTAGGAGCATTGCGGTGCCGGTTAAAAAGGAGCGTATTCTGGAGATGTTGCGGAGGTTGAGATGGCATGATTTGGACAGGGATTGGATGTGGGCTTAAAAGGATAGTTCAGAATCCAGTGTTACCCCTAGCACCCTGGCATGCAGGGATGGGTTGATTGTCGTGCCATTGATCTTGACAGAGAAATCAGGGGAAGAGGCATGTGGGGGAGGAAAAATTATGAGCTCAGTTTTGACAGATTGATATGTCAGTTAGTAAATCGGTGATACGTGAGGAAACTGATGGGGTGAGCTGAGGAGTAGAGATAGATTTGTGTGTCATTCGCATAGAAATGGTATTGGAAACCATGGGAAGCTATTAGCTGACCCAAGGAAAAAGTGTAGGAGAGATCCAAAGACAGAACCTTGGGGGACCCTGATGGTAAGAGAAATAGGAGAGGAGGAAGTAGGGTCATGGTCAAGTGACACTGAAGGGGCAGTGAGATAGGTACGATGAGAACCAATGGAGAATACAGTCACAGAGACCAAGTAAATAGAGTTTTTTGAGGAGGAGGGGTGGTCAACTGTGTTAAAGGCAGCTGAGAGGTCCAAAGTAAGGTTATGAAATAGTGGCCATTGGTTTTAACTGTTAGTTATTTGTGAGTTTTAGGAGACCAGTTTCTGTGGAGTGTTGTGTGCAAAATCCAGACTGAAGGGGATCGAAAAGGTTATTCTCAATAAGGTGGCAGCTCAGCTGCTTGTAGACTAGACATTCAAGGAGTTTGGAGGAAAAAGGGAGTAAGGAGATGGGTCTTAGGTTGTTAAGATTGGTGGGGTCCAGTGAGGCCTTTTTAATTATGGGGATAGCTAGTGCATGTTTTAGAGAGTTGGGTAGGATGACAGAAGGAGGGGAGAGATTGACGATATGAGTTAAGGAGTGCGGAATAGAGCCAGAGGGTGACTGTAGATAAAATTTCAATTATAAAAAAACTGTTTAATAGTTCTTTATACATCTTTATTAAACATTAAATGTGTATTTTTTGTGCATTATTATGGTGTAGGTGGAGTCAGAGATGATTGACACTAACTTTCACTTTGTTTAGGCGGCATCTGTATTCAAGACTCTTTTTTACTCTACAGGTATTATCAATCACATTTAACATATTTAATACTGATGTAGATTAAAACTAAGCTTTTTTTGGGTTTCTTAGTGAATGTAATCAATCAACATACTATATCCCGCCCCCACAGTGTTAAGCAATAGGAGGACATGGAGGAGGGAGGGGTGTGTCATTTACCACTGTGTATACACCCACATGTGTGACTCTATAGTCACATGGGCTGCACTGATAATACAAAGGAGGAAATGAAGAGCTTAGAAGTGAGCATAAGGACACCAGCTGGTCTACACAATCTCAGCCTGCAGTGGGGACACAGAGAAGGTGGGATGGTGTCAGGGAAGGCTTGCCCATAATACAGAAAAAGGTTCTCGGTACATAAATATGTCCTTGCCCAAACTCAAAAAAGCCTATGAAAAAGGTACCAGGGGCATCTCATGGGGCCCCCTACTGACCCCGGGCCCTCGGGCAGTGCCCGAGTTTCCAAATGGTCAGTCCGCCCCTGGCCAGCACCAAATGGCTATTTCAACAGGCTTCAGTATTACTGCATCTTATGGCTGTTTGGTCTACAGCTTATGTGTGTTTGTTCCTGATTTCTGTGCCTGACCTATGATCCTGACTCGCCTTGTTCCTGACCTCCTCTTGTCTTCTACCCACCCTGACCTCAATTTGTCTTTGGATTCTGCATCTGCATCCTGTTCTTGCCTGATTGATCGTCCGCTGCTGACCTGACTTGTGACCTGACCAGGGGTGGACTGACAACTCATGGGGCCCCTGGGCAATAGGGGATCATGGGGCCCCTGTGTCCTTGCCCAAACTCAAAAAAGCCTATGAAAGAGGTACCAGGGGCATCTCATGGGGCCCCTACTGACCCCAGGCCCTCAGCAGTGCCCGAGTTTCCAAATGGTCAGCCCGCCCTGGACCTGACTATTCTGCTGTCTGCCGTCTATGCCTAATCTGCCCAACTGTTACTGACCTGGCTTGTCTGACCCCTGCATCTTGCTCATCCAGCCTGCCACAGCTCTTCAGTCTAGCAATTCCACATCTGGGTCCTGGCATTCGCTGCACACCCATAGTCTGCTGCCAGCCAAGCTCTGTGCCAGCTCATCTGCCACCAGCCTGTTTGTCTGCTGACTACTGCCACCACGCAGACTCCTGGACTGATCACAGGCACTCATACCTCACCGTGCCCCCGCGGCTGCTGTTCCGCTGCCAGTGGCCCTTGAGCTGGAGCTCTACGAGAGGCCTTCCTCACTATCCAGGTACACGAAAGAGGGACAGCTGAAGGCAGGATCAACCGGCATATTTCACTTAACACAAAACAAATGCTTTCGTGGCTTTGTGAGAGTGTACACGACATGTAATGAGAGGTATTCATAGTCTGGGTGTAGCCTCCCTAGCGGTATGATTATGTCAGTATTTCTGTGCTCAAAGCGGTACATTTTTTTGCATGGAAATAGGCCTTTTTGTTTATTGTAGGCCTGTAATTTTTAGGAATAACTCACTGAAATCTGTCTGAACAAGAGTCTAGTAAACATCCCGGGTATGATAAAATTTGAAACACGAAATCATAAATTATAATTTAATGAATAATCATAAAAAATAATAATTTAATAATAATAAATTTAATTCAATAATATAATAAAACCAAAAACACTGAAATTTGAAATAGAGCGCCAAGTTCGCACATCACTGAGCAAAGTCACAAAATCGTTTTCAGTGTCTGATGATGAATTTCCCCCACAAATCATTATCACTCAATTCTGCAAGTGGTTCTGATTTACTATCGCTGTTCTCTAGCCGGTCTAAAACCGCTTTTGACCTAAAGGGATGCTTTTTGGACACCATGGATGTTTCTCAGTGTCCAGGCAGAAAGAACAGTAAAAATGCAGGCAGGGCACAGGACAAAGCACTCGGGACAACATGTATGTGAAATGGTTTGATACAGTAATGGAATACTATGTGATTTTAGTGTATTTAGTGAATGTCACTTTTTGACATTTTTAAATTTCCCGCCAGTTCCATCCCCCGTACATCCCGATGCTCGCAGGGAACGGAACCCAGAAGACGGATGCCGGCATCGGCCGGAGGACATTGCCGGGGACGCTGCAGGAGGGACATCGCGGGAGCGCAGGACAAGGTAAGTGCTGGAGGGATCCCAGAGCAATGCTGCAAGGTATTCCCAAGTGTAGCTCGGGGTTACTGCTTGTGGTGCTGAAACTTTACCCCGAGCAAGGGGCGGACTGACCATTTGGAAACTTGGGCACTACTCGAGGGCCTGGGGTCAGTAGTGGGCCCCAAGAGATGCCACTGGTACCTTTTTCATAGGCTTTTTTGAAGTTTGGGCAAGGACACAGGGACCCTGTGATCCCCTATTGCCCGGGTCCCCATGAGTTGTCAGTCTGCCCCTGCCCAAGCTACACTCGGGAATACCTCCAGGGAGGTTAATGACACTTTAACAGAATAAGTAACCAACCAAATGATCTCACAGGGAGTGACTGTATGTTGCAGTTTACTAAACAGGTGCAAAGTTTAAAATCATGAATAGAATGGCAAAGAGAATGCATACAGTACAGAATAATATGCAGCACCCTCCTAGATAGGTGCTAGGTTAGGTAAATTTAGTTCTGGGCTCACTGTAATCAGTATCACACAGGTTTTGCAGGTCTGACTGCTCCTCCTCACATTCCAGAACATTCTTGGCTGTTCTGGTGCATAGGTGTAAAGCGAGGCAAATTGGCAGCATGAATATTTACACAGTCCCAGCCACTGTACAGGTCAGGGGCGGACTGACCATTTGGAAACTCGGGCGCTGCCCGGGGTCAGTAGGGGGCCCCATGAGATGCCCCTGGGACCTTTTTCATAGACTTTTTTTGAGTTTGGGCAAGGACACAGGGGACCCATGATCCCCTATTGCCCGGGGGCCCCATAAGTTGTCAGTCCCCCCCCCTAGTACAGGTGGTTGTGAAGGTGTATAAATAGTTTGCAACCTGGAACAAAGGTTGCCTTGTCCCTGAGGAGGAGATCACAGCCTAGGGGGGCTGTTTGCCCCCTTGGCAGGCTTGCCATGTGTCTTCTGTTCAACTAGGTCCCAGCTGGCTGGCTGGGGGCGTAATTCTGCTGAAAGTTATTGGAGTTGACAAAGATTTTTCATCTGGGGATCTAGTCTGGTATCACTGGAAAAGTGTCTGGAAGAAATTGGAAGGAGGCAACCAACTATCCAAGGTCATTAGTCCTCATGCACACGAGACGTTTTGATAACGCTGGTAACATTAGCTGTGCAAAGTCACATTAAAAATGAGTTTTTCAGCTTTTTTTAGTGTTTTTTGCATTGGTATTTAGCGGCGTTTTGCCGTGTTTAGTGGCGTTTTCCAACATTTTTCCGTGTTAGCCAAAAAAAGTCTAAAAACACGGGTTTGCGATGTTTTTACCGTGTTTTTTTTAGCATTAGAGCATTTTTACAGCTAAAAAACTACTCTAGAAACTCACTAGTCCTGGGTTTTTTTTTCCAGCCAAAAAACGCTGATTCCAGTCTATGTGTGCATGGACACATATGATAACATGCTGGGGAGTTTACTGGCTGTAGAAAAAAACATCAAAAGCCAAAAACAGCCGCTGTAAAAACATCCCGTGTGTATGAGGATTTAGTGCGTACAGGCTGGTGTGAGAGATCCTTGTGTGCTACTTTCATCCCTCTAGTGCTAGAGTCAGTTTTGTTCAAAGGGGGCATTGTGTCTGGGATCCGGGAGACGCTCAGTCCATTAACTGCTGTGCAAGGACTCTGATAAGATCCTTAAGAGAAAGTTTAACATTCTCAAGTGCTATTATAAAGCTTAGTCCACATTTTGCTGCAAGCGAGGATTATTGTTCACATTACTGCTGCTTCTGCAATATAGTCATGACTAGGACACAACAGATATCCTCATTCATAGCAGAGCCATACAAAGCAGTGTGGTTACAGTTGAAAGCACTAACGCAGCACACAGTAAAAAAAAAAAAAAAAGCACACAGTTAACCCTTTGATCTCCCATCATTGTTAACCCCTTCCTGCCCAGTGCCATTAGTACAGTGTCAGTGTTATTTATTAGCACTGATCACTGTATTGGTGTCACTGGGAATGTCAGTGACACCAAGTCAGTTCCCCCCAGTGTCAAAATGCCTGCTGCAGTCCTGCCATAAGTCACTGATCGCCGCCATTACTAGTAAAAAAAAAAAAAGAAATCCCAGTATATATACCGCCATTTGAAAACATTTACACGTAATTTACACATATTGGGATTTTGTTTTTAGCAAAGACATGTAGAAGAATACATTTTGGCCTAACTTTAGGATGAAAAAAATAAAAAAGTAAAAAATATTGTTTTTTTTCCTCAAAATTGTGGGTCTTTTTTTTATAGCGCAAACAATGAAAAACACACAGGAGATCAAATACCCAAAGAAAGCTCTTTTCATGGGAAAAAAGAACATAAATTTCATTTGGGTGCAACATTCCATGACCGCGGAATTGCCAGTTAACCTCCCTAGCAGTATTCCTGAGTGTAGCTCGGGGTAAAGTTTCAGTACCACAAGTGCTAACCCCGAGCTACACTCGGACTTACCATGCGACGTTGCTCAGGGATTCACCTGCAGCACTTACCTTGTCCTTCGCTCCCGCGATGCGTCCCCTGAAGCATCCCCGGCCATCTCCACCAGCCGATGCCGGCATCCGGCTTCCGTATTCTGGTCCCTGCGAGCGTCGGGACATACGGGACGTACGGGGGGGGTCATAACCGGCGGCAAATTGAAAAATTTTAGAAACTGTCATTTTCTAATAAACAAATATGACATAGTATAACATTACTGTATCAAACCATTTCACATACATTTTGTCCCGAGTGCTTTGTCCTGCGCCCTGCCTGCATTTTTACTGTTCTTTCTGCCTGGAAACTGAGAAACGTCCATGGCTTTCAAAAAGCGTCCCTTTAGGTCAAAAGCAGTTTTAGACCAGCTAGAGAACAGAGATAGTAAATCAGAACCACTTGCAGAATTGAGTGATAATGATTCGTGGGGGAAATTCCTCATCAGACACTGAAAACGATTTTGTGACTTTGCTCAGTGATGTGCGAACTTGGCGCTCTATTTCAAATTTCAGTGTTTTTGGTTTTATTATATTATTGAATAAAATGTTTTATTATTATTATTAATATTATATTATTATTTTGTGGTCAGGTGCATTGCTACGGCCAATCACACTGCACTGTCAGGGCGCAGTGCATTGTGGGGTGTGGCGGGTGAACAGCCTGCCAAACACCCTTACCATTCGTGTGGTCGGCGAACGTACGTTCGACTCGAACATGAAGCCCAACCCTAGTGGTGACAATGATCTTCTATAATGCTTCCTATCCTTGTTTATAATTAATTTGAGGACACCAATGCGATTATAGTTCTATTTCTAAGCCTTACCAAAAGAAAATGCCGCCTCACATCAAATTTAAGAACTTGTTTCATAATTAATCCTTTATTACGTTTTCCAAATATTCATTGATTGATTTTTCCAGATCACTAAATTCTGGCAATGTGACTAAACTACCATTGGTGCGTGTAGTTGTGGTGGCAGAGGGACAGTGGGCCAACTCAGTTGTGGCCTGTGTGTACTTCTTGCCACTGGCTAACTGGCCAATATGGTGGGATGGGCAGGTGGAAACCTGCTTCGAGTCTTGACATCAGAATTACTACCTGGGTTGCAGGTGGAGCACACTGGCTCTCAGGTATACGTATGGCAGGAAACATAACGTGGTCCATATATATTTTAAAATAAACTCTGGGTGGAGGAAGAATATCATGTAATTTAAA